AGTGGTCGAGAGAGCTGCAGTGATGACGTATTTTTGCAGGCCAATCCAGAGGTTTGCATCACCCTGGTTCCTTCAACAAAAACCCAACAAAATAAGCTCCGTGATCAATAAAAGTTTATAATCATACATGTTTTGTTCATCATGATAATCTTCACAAAGGAACAACTTTTATGAAATCTAAAAAACATTTTCCCTAAAAGTTTGAGTTAGCGATTATAAACTCAATGAAGCTATGAAAGCAACTGCTTGGACCCAAATGTCCCATTTAGCCACTTGTTAACAGCCGCCTTTTTCAAGTCACTTAAAAGCTTAAAAAACATAAGTAAGGTATTACTGATGTATTTTATGTTGTGGAATAGAATGTGAAAATATTTTGCGCTTGTGTTAACCACAGACCTCATTTCAGGCATTTCACCAGAAACTCGTTCAAAAAAAGCCATTGACTATAGGACAGTGGAAGTGGAAATGCTAAAATGCCAACTTGTTTCCAGGGTTAGGCCTACAAAATACGTCATCACTGCAGCACTCTATAGTGAATAAGAGTATAGGGGGTGATTTCGGATACAGCCTTGATTAGTTTGTTAGCTGTGCAGTGAGCAGAGTTTTGAGGTAACACTTACACGTCATGAACAGCTTCCTGCTGATGTCTGATACACGCCTATGACTGTCGCAATAATGTTTAAGCAATACAGAGCAAAGAAAATAGTGCATATATGTGATATAAAACATGTTTTTCCAGTGAACTCCCATTCTGTCAATGTTAAATTGAATTTTTAGGGTGTGATCCTGTCTTGGTTTGGTTGGTTAGAGCTTTATTGGCACGACTAAGATACGATTGAGAGATTCAATTAATTTTGATGATGAAAGACGCCTGCAGTGAGACTCAATCTATTTGTTGCCCCCTGCTGTGGTGGAGGAGTGCTTAGTGAGGTGGAACCAGGGTCATGAGGTAAAGTAGGAGTTTTGCATCGAGTAGAGGCGATCAATGGGATTTCCTATCCGCCCTGCCAGAACTCCACCGTCGGCAGTCGACAAGAGACAGTCTCCGAGATGACTGAGGCTTCCATCACTGTCCAAGTCATGGAAAATTGTCTCTGAGTCTGAAATGAAGTCAGTGTTCAAATGCAAACAAACATTTTGGTTAACTGAGAAAAGAACCAATGCTGAAGTTGGTGCAGTAAGAGATCCTCACCGTAGGAGTGCATCTGCTCGGGGCCTAGCTGTGGTGGCGTGAGCCCATGTCGGAATTGCTCGCTACCGTATATGTTGGGATCCAAAGCCAGCAGTTGTTGGCGTGGCAGAGAGGAATATGAGAGCAGCCCGTCCAGTCCGTGACTGCTGGAGCCATCTGTGGAGAGACGGAGCCCGGTTCACACCTTTCATCAAGCCATTTCACACAGTTATCCATCCACTTCGGTGTGTGTCCGTGTCTTACCCTCGCTGTCATCGTTACTCTGGCGCCCCCCCCTGCTCGGACCCCTCCTGGTCCCGCCCATTTGCTCCTGTTCTTGCTGTTGCTGCTGCTGCTGTTGTCTGCGAGCGATCTTCTTCATCTGAACTCACAAAACAAGAGTTTATTGACATCCCCTGGTCCTGGAACAACAGTCCCAACTAATAGTTATACATCGCTATCTGTCTATCTATCTATCTGTCTATCTGTCTGTCTGTCTGTC